GAGCCTGCTGTACACGGCCCGGCTCCGCCCCGGCCGCGGGGTCACGCTGCTGGCTTCGCCTCATCTGTGGTTCACGGTGACAATCGCTTTTCCCTACGAGGTGATGACGTTCACGCGGGGCTGGCGCGAGTCCCAAGCACCCCCTCGGCACCCCGCGTGTTTCCGGGAACGCGGACCCGCCCGTAGGGGCTGACACTCTGCCTCCGAGCGCCGGGCGCTGCTGGGCCTCCGCACTCCCCTTCGGGGGCTTCATGCGGCCTGGAGCTCCCGGGTGACATACGCGAGACAGAGAGGTGGTCTCCACCCGTCCTAAAGCACACAACACTCCTTCCAGAACAAAGCGTAAGCCCCGCCCCTCATTACGAACACCTCTTGTAACAGCACTTCTGGTGGGGCGGTTGAAATGAAGGCTTTCGTCGTTCATTTAAAATGAATACAGATAACCCTATGCTTTTCTTCCCGCACCCCAATATTCCATCGCGTCCAGTCCTGGCGCCCCACCCTCCGTCGGCACGGCTCTCACGCAAGCTGGCCTGTCACCTGCCTGTGTTCTGACGTCTCAGGACTTTCCTCCGTTTCTCTTGAACGAACGTGATTACATTAGTTACCCTCTGTTGAGAAAACCCAGACAGACCCCAACTGCTGAAAGGATTGACCGACTTTCCCGTGAACCCGGGATGCACGGAGATACTCACTCACGGCAACGGAAGTACAAAAGTGAAAATCCCTAGGACAGTTGGATGGATTTGTGCAACCGAAACTATTCTCTATCTCGCAGACGTGACACTTCAGGGTTGCAGCTGAAAGGGGAAGAAAACCAGAGTGAAACACCACCGCTCTCCAGGCCTATCGGATGAGCACCGCCCCTTCCCCCATCTCTCCCTCCTCCAGGGAGCACAAAACCACGGGTCCGAGTCCTTGTATTCTCCCCTGGGCCGCCCTCACCCTACCTCTCACACACACACACTCACCCACACACACAGGCACGCACGCGCGCACACACGGCACCTCAAGTTCCATGGCTCAAGAGATTTGCAATCTGCCTTCCGGGGGCCCTTCCCACTCACCTTCCCCACTCCTCCCTCCCCCGCCCCAGGCCCTGCATCCCCTCCCCTGGGTGTGGCCCGCTGCCTGGTCTGCATTAGGGCAGGACTCGCTCCCCGCTCCCTGGGGACAAGCCGGTCACCCTTCTGCGGCTGGTCCAGTTCTCTGACACAGCCCTGGATGGTCCTGTGAGGGCCGGGCCACGCGTGGCGCCCAGCCTGATGTCTCCCAGGAAGGCAGGGACGCTGAGGGGACAACACGGTGCTGGGGAATAAGCCAGGATTCCGGCCACTCCTGCCGGCCCTCGACAGGGGGCCCCAAATCAAGAGGCTCCCCCGTCGGGTGTCCAAACACAGAGGCTGCCCTCCTGACGCTCTCTCGCTCCCTGACCCCCGTGCCTGCCACCGCCCTGGGGCCCCCGCCGGGTCCAGACATGGGTGACCACCCCGTGTCTGCAGAGGCATCCTGGCCCACTTCCTTCTCCCAGCCCAGGGGGTTGAGGGGCCCAGACTTACCTTGTTTTCCAGACACGGTGACGTTTGTCTCCACCCGCGGCAGGCCCGTGACCAGGAGCAGAGCAAAGAGAATCATCGGTTCCGTGGTGCCTGGCCCTGGACACGGGGAGTGAGGCCACGCGGTCAGCTCTGTGGCTCCGGGGTCAGACCCGGCCGCCTGGGAGGCCACCCCGTGGGCCCAGGGAAGGCAGGGCGCTCCCTTGAAGAGTGTGGACGGCTACTGGCCATTCCCTAGTCCTGTGACCCAGGTTAGGCCCAAACATACACGCCCACCAGATCCCAGTTCTGGCACCGTCACCCTTTGCTCCCACCCCAGCCCTCCAGGACGGTCTCCTGAACCCACCCTGCGCGGGCCCCACCCCACCCTTGACAGCAAAACATGCCAGGGGTGGCCCTCTAGGCCTTCCCAGCAGATGAGAAGTAACTGCAGCCATGGACGCTCACTGAAGGGACTGGTGGGTTTGGCTTAAACGCCCTCAGAAAGGCTCTCCGCACGACGATTATTAGGTATGTCGATCATCATACAGGCAGCTGGTCGTTTCTTTATGTGATGTGTACGCGCTTCTTTTTAAGGTTTCTCTCGGTAGCCCCATTTTGTATGTTTGTTTGAGTTTTACCTTTATACTTACATCTCTCTCTTTTCTTTAACGTTTATTTATCTTTGATGGAGAGAGAGCGAGACGGGGCACGAGTGGGGAAGAGCAGAGAGAGAGGGAGACGCAGATTCCGAAGCAGGCTCCAGGCTCTGGGCTGTCAGCACAGAGTCTGACGTGGGGCCCGAACTCACAGACCTGAGATCGTGACCCGAGCCGAAGTCGGATGCTTAACCCACTGAGCCACCCTGGCGCCCCTATACTTACATCTCTTGAAACAACTTTCTTTCTCCAAGTTTTGTCGTGTAATGTTTGCTCCCCACGTTGTCACTTTTCAACGGCACCCTATCCTTCCCACCCATCACCCTGCTTCGCAACGGACCGCTTCCGACGCAGTGAGCCCGCGCTCCTGTCCTCTCCCTTCGTGGCCCGGTTTTAGTTGCATCATTTCTGCCTCATCAGATCAGACAGAGGAGAGCAGAAGTATTCGGTCCTATAGATAAAGAACCATCATTCCCCAAAGCAAACACTGGCCACACCGAAAATCGACAACACGTCTTGCGCCCGTCATGGGAATGCTAGGAAGCAAAACCACGTCTTTTAAAAAAAAATTTTTTTTTAACGTTTATTTATTTTTGAGACAGAGAGAGACAGAGCATGAACGGAGGAGGGTCAGAGAGAGGGAGACACAGAATCCAAAACAGGCTCCAGGCTCTGAGGTGTCAGCACAGAGCCCGACGCGGGGCTCGAACTCAAAAACCACGTCTTTTTTGATGAAAATGAGGAATGTGTCGGGTGGGTCACCACTGCCCTCGACACAGCCGCAGAAAGACTCCGCGAACTTGAAGACGGGTCGGTAGAACTCTCCTTGCCTGAAACGCCAAGACAAACACAACAAGAAAACAGAACAGAATGTCCAAGAACCGTGGGACGAGCTTCTTTTCGGTAACACCCAGCTCCCCGAAAGACCAAAAGGAGGAGGAGGGATGGCACGGAAGCATCCCTGAAACCATACCGGCTAAGGGCTTTCCAGCGGTCCCGACAGACATCGCTGTGGAGACTCAGGAAGCTTAGAGAAAAGGACGGGCACAACCCCCGAAACAAACAAATACACACACACAAAACCACCTCTACCGAGGCGTGTTCAAAGCACAGAAAATCAGAGAAAGCTTTCCGGAACCCGGAGGAAGAAACAACACACGTGATGTGCAAAGAAACAAGAGGAGAGCCTTCCGTGCACTTCACATGGAACCACCCAAGCAGAGGCGCGTAAAAAACATTTCAGGTGTCGGAAGACGACGTCTGCCAACCTAGAACCCGGTAGCGAGAGGAGCTCCCCTTCGAAGCACAGCAGACTGTAGTCTTTTAACGCCCATGACACCCACCACACAGTGTGTCCACTGCTCACTTCATCTCTCTTCCAGTGTTGAGTCCACAATAAAATATAGCAATACGTTTGGAGTGGAAATCCCATCACCTTTCAAACATCGCAGTAAATAAAAACTAAAACACACGCTAAAAAAAAAACAACTGCGAGGAAGCTCTCTTGACACATTTACCTGCTATTTCTGTACGTCCACACCTTTTCCGCCACATGCACTGAGCACAGAGGCTCGGTGCACATCAGCAGCGTGCAAGGCAGCTCCCGGAGGGTCAGCATCCAGCAGCCCCCTGCACAGGCCCCACCGCTCCCCTCCCCACCTGCACCTCCCCTCCAGGCTCCTCTCCCCACCCGCTCCTGCCCTACCCTCCTCTCCTGACTCCTCTACCCACCTATGCCTCCCCTGCACCTCCCCTCCTGGCTCCTCTCCCCTGTCTCTCCTCCCCTGCACAGCAGCTACCAGGCTCCCCCACAGGGCACTGCCAGCAGCAGGCAGGCGTTTCCACACACCCCTCAGCCCTCCTCTTGCAGGAAGTCATCCACCTGGAGCTCAGCGAGTTCCCCTCGTCGAACCCCCTCCACCCCCCATCCCCCACCCCCGCAGGACAATGCTTGTCCTGATGTACTGGGGGACCCCCACCTCAAAACAGCTTGGGAAAAGTGCTGGGACACTGTCCACGGAGACGTTTCCTGCTCCTACAGGTGATGGGCAAACGTGCCCCTCCGCCACCCCCCCCCCCCCCCCCGCGGCCCTGAACGCAGACCCTGGCCCTCTGCTCCAGGCTGGCCCCCCAGGCACCTGGCAGGGCCCGCTCCAGCTGCAGGGTCTGGCGGGGAGGCGGGGAGATTTCCGTCCCTGGAACTGGCGGGACCCAGCCAGAGATCTTTCCAGAGCACAGAGGCACCAGCAGGGAGGCCCAGAAGGACAGGCAGGAAACGGTGGCCTTGCAGAGTAAGAAGGCTCTTCCAACCGGGACCCCGCCCCCACCGGTCCCCGCGGAAAAGACACGCGAGGGACAGCCACGCGAGGGACGAGTGACAAAACGAAGCCCGACGGGACCGGCCCCGGCGCCGGGAAGGAAGCGCACGCTCTGCGGGCGGAGGTCAGAGAAGGTTCCAGGAGGCTGAGGGTCGCAGTCAAGGACCCGCTTTTCCTTCTCGAAACTAAACACACGACATCAAACTGGGCCCCGCACAAAGGGCCTGGAAGAAGAAAGCGCAGAAACTGCGGGGAGAACAGGTCCAGGCGGTGCAGGCGGGGCGGGGACTCCAGGGGCCGAGGGACCCCCGGGCAGCGGCAGCGGCAGTGGCAGCGCCTCCGGTTGTGCCCGTGCGACTGAGAGGCGCCGGCAGGACCCCCGCCGTTGCAAGCACCCCTCACGCCAGCCCTGGGCCACGCCCCGAACCTCCTGGACCCTATGGGCCCCCCCCCCCGCCCTTCACCCTACTGAGACTAGCCAGGCCTTCTGGAACCTTCCAGCCCCCCCCCCCCCAGGCGTCCAACCTTCTGCCAATTAACTTCCACGCTGCCCGCCTGTGAGGTGAGCCCCGAACCTTCCGGAACCTCTGGCGCCGCCGGACTGTCTGAGAGTGGGGCCTTCAAGGCTCGTGGAACCTTGTGGAACCCGAGTGTGCGCGTGCGCATGCGTGGGCGCGGGGCCTGCCGGGAGTGGCGCGCGCAGCGACGGAGACCCCCTCCCTTGCGGACGCGCCAGGGCTGTGGGAAGCGCGGCTGCGGCCCGGAGAGTCTTCGCGCTCACCCTGCTGTGCCCGCCGCTTGGAGGCCTCGCCGTCCAGGCTTCCAGAAGGTTCTCTGTGGTCGCCGTGGGGACGCGTGGGGACGGAGGGCGCAGGGAGCCGGCGGGGCGGCGTTCGAAAGGGCGGTGGGGGGCGGGGGGCACCGTGGGCGCCTGTCCCGGGCCCTCAGCGGGGGGCTGCTGGGCTGCCCGGGTCCTCGCGGGGTGGGGACACGGCGGGTGAGGCGCTCCCCCAGACAGGCGTCCCCCCTCTGTCAGGTACTCCCCCAGAGGGGTGCCCCCTCCGGGGGGTGCCCCCCCCCCCCCGCAGGCAGGTGCTCCCCAGACAGGCGTCCCCGCTCAGGCCGTTGGCTCCTCCCCCCACGGGCGGCCACTCTCCTCTTACAAGTGGCCAACCCCCTCAGACAGGAAACACTCTCCCCTCCGGCAGGTGCTCCCCCAGAAGGTGTCCCCTTCGGGCAGGTGCTCCCGCCCAGGTGTGGGGGGGTGGGGGGTGGGAAGCAGTTTTCCCTCAGGATCCCGGGCTCGCAGACTTGGGGGTGCAGATGGGTCCCCGCGGGAACGCTGGGCTGAAGCGGGCACTGCCAGGTGCCGGGGCGATCCTGGAACATGGGCCAGGGTCAGGGCTCAGGTGTGGGGACCCCCGGGCCCTCCACCGCCCGCGCTTCAGGGCCACCTGATTCCGCGGGAGGGGTGGGGGGCGGGGGTGGGGGGCAGCGGAACGTTCTGGCGCACACTGTGGCCCACTGCGCAAGACAGGCTGCAGGCCTCCAAGGGATCAGGGTGGTCGCCGCGTGCTGCCCCACATTTGTCCATCGCCTGTAGGAGCTGGAAACGCCTGCGTGGACAGTGTCCCAGCACTTTTCCCCAGCTGCTCTTGAGGTCGGGGTCAGCAAGTACATCAGGACAAGCATTGTTGGGGGGGGGCATGGGGACCTCGGCTGAGCTCCCAGTGGAGGCAGCCCCAGGTGACCTCGTGCAAGAGGAGGCCTGAGGGGTGTGTGGAAAAGCCTGCCTGCTGCCAGCAGTGCCCGGTGGGGGAGCCCGGGACCTGCTGGGCAGGGAGGTGCCCGTGGGGAGAGGAGCTGGAGGGGAGATGCAGGGGTGGTGTAGGTGGGGAGAGGAACTGTGAGGGGAGGTGTAGGGGAGGTGCAGGGGAGGTGTGGGTGGGGAGAGGAGCCAGGAGGGG